CTTTCATTCAAAATGAATATGTAGATTAAGCTCGTATTTAAAGAGACGTATATATGTGGACTCTCTTAAATCAGTTAGCTTTCTTAAGATGAAAAAAACTTGAAGAGTGTTCTTCCTATTTGTCGTTCAAGTTAAAATTGCAGTAAAATTAACTTTTTCATTAAAATTGAAAGTAGCTTGTATTTAAAGAGACCCATACGCCAAAATATATATGTGGACTCTCTTAAATGATAAAGCTTTGCACAGACTAAATAATGAATAACTTTTTAATCAAAGTAAATGCAGGTTTAGCTTGTATTTAAAGAGACATAGCAAATAAGCGTATTATTATGCATGTGGAGTCTCCGAAATGAATTCGCTTTCCATGGATAAAAAAAAAGCAAAAAAAGTGGTCTATTTAAGGGTGACTTCCACAAAAATTATATAAAAAATTGAAAGTGGCTTAGTTAAAATTTATAACAATTTCGTTCCTAAAATCTGTAGTAGAACTACGACAAGCATATCATCTCAGTCCAATTAAAAACTAACAGAAGTAAGCCATGTTCTCTATCATTGTAGGAAAATTCAGACTATTTAAATAGAATTCTTTTTTTTTTTGGTCATTTTCATAAACAAGAGATATGAAATTAGAAACATGGCAAGATAGAAAATCAATTTTTACAACCTATTTTATGTGACAGTAGGTCCATATGTTATAGAATGGAATATTTTTGCATTTTTCATTAAGCATCAGTGATAGAAGGTCCAGGGTTCGTGATGCAGGCAAGAGGGGCTGACATGGAAAAAGCGTCTAGTCTTTCAGATGGGACAATAAACCGAGGCTCTGGGTGCTACAGGCTGTGCACGTTACAGATCCCTTGACAGTTGGAAAATGAAAAAGAGCAGGCTAATGACGCTGTCCTGCCAAAATGTCCCGCATTGCATGGCATTTCATTTTACCCATCCGAGATAGACATAAAAAAAAATCTAATGTCATATAGTTATAATCAACCAGGAATATGTATGTATGCCAAATGAAATGCGTAGACAAATATAGATTTTATAGAAACTTTCCCTGTAAATAGAAAAATATTCCTGAGGCTTGGCGTGGATTAAGACACAAATAGACTAATCATGCTTGTATAATGACTAATGTACTGGAAGCACTGTTACCTACTTTATTAGGTGTAGTTGATCTACAAATAAATTTGATATACTTTCGGTGAACAATTTTACAATATTTTTTATGTGAATTTGAATACCACATTTGAGGAATCACATAGTTACTAAGAGCTTATTTCATGATGTTGATACATGTTTTGGGTATGAAATCCCCATCAGGAGAGCCATTTTTTAGTCTAGATCCTTAGTGGTAAACTTTACATGTACATAGACACTTTTGTCATTCTGGATTACTCTAACTTCAAATCCATGTTTGTTCAGAATAATCTGCGTTTGAATAGTAAAAAGACGAGTCGTCTTTTCTCGGGACACTACCATATATATATAAATCACATACATGTGAAATTTGAGGTCTTTTTGAAGGAATTATGCGATATTTGTACATTTTTAGTACTTCTAAAGACAATTTACATATTATTATTATTATTTACAATATTCAAGATCCAAATCAACCCTTGTAAATGACCTTAAGCCTATTAATATTGTTCGTACAAAATGGTCAAATTTGTCACAGAAACAGTTTTGTGAAAAAGTTTCCAACTGAATTCATCATAAACCGATTGTCTAGAGTGAATTGTTTTAAAATTAACCTATTTAAGGTGGTATGACTCATGACAATAGAACTAGATGTGGTCCAATAACTAGGCAGGATATAGGACAATAGACAGTGGAATTTATCAAGAAATAGTGATAATACCGTTAATACTGTTAATACCACTGTTAATACCACTGTTAATACGTTAATAGTACTGGATTGGACTAATATGTTTTTATGAAACAAACTTGGTATCCAGTAGAGTAGTTGACTCATAGCCAAGTTTTGTAAGCTTGGAAACTCTATTGATTCTTCAAGGGTTAAATGTAGAACAGTCACTCGTACACCTTAGAAAGTTTTGATATTCAATTCGGTATTTGAAATGAAGCAAAGTTTAAATATGCATTTTAGGTTGTAACCTCGGGGTTAACTGATAACACGAATGCACAGGCATGTATAGGCGTAACCTCTAGTGAAGAGATTATCAAGAGGTTTTCTAAACGTTTTTTTTATGTGTATCGTGGACACTGTAAGCATCAATTTGCACCATTCCAATTTTCAATCAGACGTCTGTGGGTCTTAAAATAATAAGCATTAGGCCTTTAGATACAGTGAAGCCATATATGGTTAAGTATTTCTATGATTACAGAAACCACAGACATCTGCAGGGAAATTGGAATGATGCAAATGGAAGCCATAAATGGCCTCGATACATAAAAAAAAGCGAGAAAACCTCTTAACAAGCCTTTAACTGATATCCATTATCACCGATACATCATTTGCGCTTAGAAAACTGTGAATTATTTACACTTAAACCAATCCTAAACCAGATCAAATAATGGAGAAAAAAAATTTGATTCTAGCTTGATTTAATAGGCAGCTTATCTTGCCATGACATCCTACCTAAAATCAATTTTTACTGCTACTTTTCTTTTCATGTTATTGATTTTCTGGACTGATTTTCTTTTCCAGAACCCAACTATTATGATCCTGTTATAGTGTCGAGTGCAAAGAACAGCCGAGGCAAGCCAGTGTTTCATGCTTTAATCAACGAAAATGAAAATAAAGTGACCAAGATTAAGCCCAGTATTACAGCTACTGATAGAGATACTTTAGGTGGTGCAGGTAAACAAACACATTCCATATTATTATTATTATTTTGGTTAAAACGGATTTACAAATTTTGTTTCATGGTTTTTCTGTGGGTTGTCGTCCATGGCCATAGATACTTTAGGTGGTGCAGATAAACACATTTGATGTTATTATCATATTCAAATAATATAATTTGTTTCACGTTTTTTCCGTGCGATCCATAGCCAAAGATGCTTTAGATGGCGCAGGTAAACACATTTGACACCATCAAAATTTCGTGTTAGAAATTTCAAACCAGGTCTTTCAATTTAAGCCAGTCATTTCTGATTTGAGCTCTAAAGTGGCTGACTACAATTTTGGTTATTGTAGGGAAATGTGAGTTTCTGCATTTTTGATGCATTCTCAATGACAATATGTTAAAATTCTTACTTCAAATATGATCATAAGATATATTTGAAGAACATTGGCCAGGTCTACGTATTTCATTTCACAATTTTTCTGAGGGGGTCTTTACTTTCCATTCATGATCGAACAAAATTGTTACGCAACACATATTTGAATATCCAACCATTCAAATGCTCTCTAAAGTAGACGCTCTGTAATGATCGCATGGTGTCATCACGTGTTTCAGGTTGTAACCATCATCTGTTAAAAATACCAGACTGTTTATAATTTGAAGTTATTGGACACCATTGTGAAATAAAGTAGATATTGTCCTTTTAAATGCAAATAGGAGAGCGATAAAAAAACTTATAACGCGTCCCGAAAAATAACGACGACATTGCCTGTAAGAAATACTTGGAATTATTCCAACTGATTTCCTGCAAGTCATTGATTGGAGTTAGATTTTATTTGCATGATAAGAATAGATAATTTAAAGAGTTTCCAGTGAAATTCCATCTTGACTCTAGTCAGATATATTTTATTGATCGACTTAAAAACTGTCACATGACTTAAATAGTATTAAGTTATTATTTATCACCAGTGTGGGTTAAATGTTTAAATTCAATTTAGACTGACATTTTAGAACATACAAATTTAATTTTTTTAAATTAAATTTTGGGATTTATGTTAAAGGGACATTCCTCTATTTTTTTTGTAGGTTTAAATTTTTTTTTGCTCAAATTTGTGAAAACTGTACACCAAAATCTCTTAAATTTAACCAAATTCGGTTTGATCAAGTAGATACATAGATATAAATAGCATACTTTAGAAATATTTTCAGGTATAATTTACGACGATTTTGATAATTAAAATGTTTTACAAAAAAGCAGAATGCCCCTTTAAAAATTGTTTAAATCTTTTCTTTGCTAGCTATCCGTATCACCTTTAACATTAAGGGCACATAGATTAAAATACATTTCTTTGGAAGTGATTATTTCAATTTCAACTATCTTTATCCCTTTTAAGAATTGAATTTCATGGTTTGAATTGTAACAATTCAGTAAAAACCTATTCTGGAGTACAAAATAATGAAACTTCCATGACATAGGATAATTAATTGCCTGTGACATCCTGGCAATGAATTGCAGATGAATAGGGTGTCAGATTTTACTTTAGAAAAGTGATACAGAAAGCTGAAATTGCATTATATCAGCTTGTACTGGTATAACAAATATTTGGACAAATTTATTCTTGTAATTTAACAAGAGAAAATTCAAATAGCAAGAGAAGAAATGTGCCTTTAAATATATGAAAGCTTCTTAAGTCAAAATTTGGGATAGAAAATAAGATTTTTGCTTTAATCTCGAATACAATGAATAAAATCTATTATAGAATGTAAATCTATAGATTCCGATTGCTTTGATATATATAAAACTTTTATACCAGAAAACAGACATAAAATTTGAATTATGTTCTAAACTTCAAAACAAGTTTCTACATTACACAAGACTGTTAGTGGTATAGTTAATTAAATCTGGTTTCTTCTGTTTATTACATACACAGTAGGTTTCACAATAAACTTTTAATATTATTACTGAGTCTTTCTTAGAAGAGACCGAGACTTAAAGATGGGTTTCCTTATTTTTTAGTGTCAAATTAAGCAAATTATTTGATTAACTAGTGTTTCTAATGAACTATCATGTATTCTTAATCATATCACTATGTTCTTATTGCATATAATTAAGAGTTTTAACCAATCATAAATGCCCATGTACGTACAGTCTGGATAAACAAAAAAGGACTTTTTCACCTTTTCAGGTTATATCTAATGATAAATGATCTATTTTGGTTATTTTCAGGTTATATCTGTGAATATAACATTGTGAAACATTTCAAGAAGACCAGTCTACCATTCGAAGTAGTGGTAGTTAATAGAACAACAGGGTTAGCTGAGATCCGAGTCAAAGAGGGATTTAAACTGAACTATGAAAAGAGAAGACACTACAGATTCAATATTGTAGCTGTAGATTGTGGAGAAAGCAAGAAAATCTCTAATCCGTAAGTACTTTGCATATTGTATAAACTAAATAGGTATATAGACTTAAGTCTCAGTTGTTAAGTGGCATCAGGGATCCAATCTGCTTTTTTTCTTCCATTTTTCTTCTTCGTTGAAAAAGTTCTCTCATTGGATATTGAATAGCTTTGCCTGTTGATAGCCTAAAAGTCAGACTCAAAATACAGATTCATTTGAATATCAGTTGAAAGTGATGCACTTTTTGGATAACTGAATTTCCCTCACTGTACACAGAATGGCATCGTCTGTCTTCACTAGTCCAGTCAATAGTAAAATAGAATTTAAAAAGACTTTCATTTGAATTAAAAGAGGATATTGCCTTTAAAGTGACATTGGCCCAAAAAGCTTCAAAATTTCCCCCTTTGCACACAGAATGGCATTGGCTGTCTTCATTAGTCCAGTCAATAGGAAATAAAAGGATGGAAAAGATAAATTAACTTAAAGAGGATTTTGCCTGTAAGGGGATGAAGGTATTAGACAGTAGTTTTATAACCTCTCGAGTAATAATTAAAGCGATAAATATCTGTGAATATATCGCCTGATTAAAGTGATAATAATGTGTTATCGGCCCGTTAATAATGCGATATTGGCCCGGTAGCTATAATAAGATATTGATATACACCTTGTCGTTACTATTGATTACTAGTTTTCATAACTAAACCTATAATTATAATCACTCTAAGAGCTCATGTAATATAAATGACTTCTATAAGCCGATTATTATTTTTTTTACGTCTTGAGATTTTATCAGATATATTATACTGCGACTAATATGTAAAGGGATTATAGAGAATGTTTATGTGTATCAAGGACATTGGAAGCATCAATTTGTATCATTACAATTTTTCCGTCAGATGTCTGTGCTTCCTGTAATTATAGAAATACTGACCGTTTTATGACGTAGCTCTCCAAGATATTATTAACAGCGTTTGTGGATAAGCATTCCTGTAATTACAGGAATCACAGAAAAGTAATTGGAATAATGCAAATAGAAGCCATATATGGCATTGATACACAAGAAAAATTAATTCCAAGAATACAGCCTAAGCACTTTGTTAATAGCATGTCTTATATAGTTTCTAACCTTTGGTACATCATCTGTATCAGGAATGTTTATATCCAGCATCATTCCGTTTTCTTATCTAATGTCTGCGGTTCCTGTTTCAAATCATTTTGAAATAGATCAATATTTGTAAATTCTAGTGAAGGTATAATATTTAGATATTTTTTTTTATCCACAGATACACTCCGTATTCAAATATCCGCCCGAGATAGCTGAAATCTCATGTCTTGCATTTTTAATAAACATGTTGTATAACTTGTCAGAATGGAAATACGGTTTGTCTACGATTAAAATAAGATAATGGTTTCTGGAACTCTTGTAGACAAAGATTTCAGAATGCATCTTTTTTTTTACCATTTCCCTCTACCTTTGCACCTAAAAGTTTTTTTGAACTATAAGGATGCTTGAACTAATAAATTTAATCAACAAGATATATTAACCTGTCAAGAAACTTAGAATCACTTGACCCTAAATACCCAGGACAGTCTTGTAACTGATATTTTAACCTCCATACATTAAGTGCTTGTCAAATGTCCACTTATATTAAATAATGTGTCTAGGTCTAAGGTTATATATAGATCTATATTGGAATCTCGTTTGTTGTGCGGGCACACGAGCAATCTTGGTCAGAGATTTTTTCTCCGACTTGAATCTTGAGTAAAATCTTTCTGTGCCTGTGCTTCCACAACAAAATTATAGTGTCTCTGACAGATTTATAATATCAAACAAGTATAAAAATTGTCTCCGATAGTTTTATCGTCTGCTAGACAGACCTTCATCATCCAATCAGACAAATGTCTCCAACCAAGACTACTTGTGTGTCTGCACCTTAACCTAGAAGTCCAGGATTTGATTTGGACATGCATTGAGATTATATCTAGGGAGTTTCATTGCATACTGCATAGTGTTAGCTGAATTTATTGACCGGTAAAACTCCATTTCATTTCTGTCTACATTCTGAAAGAAAACTGGCTAGAAAAATCTATAAATCACATATTTAGAATCAAATTTGTGGATTCTTTTTTTTTTTTTTAAAAAGAAAATGTGCATAGATGTAAATTCCTATTTTTTTTCCCTTAAAGAAATTTATTTAGTTAATACATCAAAATTTTTAGTTTGAATTAACCAAAATATTGTATTTTCCAACTTAAGACATAAGTTTCATTAAACTCCCATCAATAACTTTTAAAAATCGATTTTTCGATCTTTTTTGACTCATTAAGGTATTTATTGATATTTTCAGAGCTGTCGTGTTGATCAAAGTCAAAGATGTGGATGAATTTGTCCCGAAATTCGAGAATGCCTCCTACTATGCCACCATTGAAGAAGGCAGAGTGTACGACCAAATTATTACAGTCAAAGCTTACGATGAAGACAGATCACCGACATTCCATGATATTTGTGATTACAAAATCGTCACTCCCAACGTTCCTTTCGAGATCGACAACCAGGGTAACATCAAAAACACAGAAGCCTTGGACTACAAGCGTCATCGTAACTTCATCATGAAGGTCAAGGCCCAAGAATGTGGCGGCAAATACTCCAAGCCGGTCTCCGTGAACATCTTCATCAAGGAGATCTGCGTGACAGGTTGGAGAGGCGTGGAAGATAAGGTTGTCTATTTCGCTGGTAGTGGACGCCAGAAGTTAGCTGCCGAAGCCAGACTCCAAATCTGTGAAGACACCTGCAAACCAGACCAAGTCGGTGATGTGTCTGTTAAAATGACACTAGGTACCAACCATATTGGCAAAGGCTGTGATCGTGATACCTTCTCTATAACCTCCCAGAGAAAGATTTGTGGTAAGTAAAGACTTTCTAATCCTTGGATAGTATCAACAACATGTTCTTCACAATTCCCCTTTGTCAAATTATGCTAATTATGAAGCATTAAAATTGAATAACAACTTCGGACAGGTTTCTAAATGAATGGAGGCCAATGTTTAAAGCGTTGGACATATTTTGACATTGCATTGAAATTTTTAGGGAGAGGTTGTTTGCTGGTTTAGTCTAATGGTGGTTTTGGCTTCTAATCTTGGTCGGCAACGGAAAAGCCATCTTATTCTTCATGGTGCATTGATTTAGTCTAATCGGGAAGAAAATTAGAATGTATAACTTCATTTCTTTCATACATAGATATTGTTTTTACATCTACCCAATTGACACAATTTTTAATGAAATGTTGAAATTGCGAGAAATGAAAGCTTCTCTAATCACGTGACATTGAAATTTCAGGAGCTAGTGGAGATAGTACAGATCTTCTTCCACCACCATCTTCTGCTGAATGGACCAAAAATATCGGAACAGATGACGGACATGAAAGTGATCAAGTCTTTTATTTTGACGGAGACAACGCTGCCATTGTACCAGAAGATCATTTCAACCACACATTAGACAATGAATTTACCATCTCTACCTGGATGAAACATGTGTTCGATGATAACTATCAACAGGGACATAGCAAACATCCTAAAGAACACATCATGTGTATGTCTGATGGAGAAAGTAAGTATATTAATTTGATTCAAGGAGGTGATTGGTTGAAGTTTGAAGTGGATATCATGCGAAATTTATCATGTGTGATTTTTCATGCAAAATAGTGTTTTGCTGAATTTAAAATTCCATTTCAAGGTTTTAAAATAAGAATACTCATAGATATCTATGAAAATCAATTCAGTTTTTGGCAGCACAAAAAAAAGTCTGTTTCAAATATATACCAAATGGTTTGCATTTACCAAACTGAACTCCAAGTAAACTTAAAGATGATATTTTATGATATAGTCTCGGGCCTTAATGGCCGCCAGCCATTTGGGTGCATAATACATTATTAGCGCCATTGAGTAGAACTTTCTAGAAAATAGGCACTATACAAATGTATTATTATTATTATTATTATTATGTGGTCACTAGAGCTACTACTAGTGTTTAAAGGTATTTCCAACATGATCAAAGCATCATATTTATTTTACTGTAGAAATGAACAGACATCACTATGCTCTGTTTGTCCACGGTGAAAAACTGGTGTTATTATTAAGAAGAGAACCAACCACTGAAGAAGAAATGGAAATATTTAAACCAGCAGAATGGAGATGGCACTTACCTCAAATTAATGATAATGAATGGCATCACTATGCTATCAGTGTGGATCTGAAAAATGCTGATGATCATATGGTAAGTTAGACCTTATATTTGATATAATGTTTAACCTATATTATTGTCCTGACGTTTCGGCTTACTGCCTTCTTCAGAAACACCCAAAATAGATCTCCATCACATCTTATTCCGTTATTTTACTAAGAAGGCAGTAAGCCGAAACGTCAAATAACAGGATAATGATATAGTTTTAATTGGTTTCCCCTTTTTGGAAATTTGTGATATAAAATAATATTTAACCCTTTAAACACTGACTGTAATAGGCTAATTTTAAATGCCATACTGAACAAGTTATATAACTGACAGTGTATGACTTTAACATTATGTGATGTCTCTTGACAGCCTTAGCTTCATAGCCACTTTTAATCCAAATACAATTTTATTCAGTTTCATTCATTTTCTGTGGGTTACTTCACAGATTCTTGATACCCTGGTCTGTCATTTAGGCTGGATAAATGCGCCTACTTTTTGATGGCACTGTAGATAAAGGTCCCTTCTGCTTCAGGGTTGTCATAGTATGTTACTTTGATATTTGAATGGCTTTGCTTCTTAAATTAAGCAAATCAGTGCAAGATGTAAAATTTCAAATTGCTCCATTTTTTTGGCATTCTCAATTTTTATAGAATGGAATATCTGGCGCTATAAAAGAATTATTTCCTGACAATCCTTTTAGAGCCGGATTGATATTATGTTACAGGTAAAATTATATATTGATGGTAAACTGTTATTACAAGATAAAACTATATTTGAAGAAATAGATGATTGGCCACTACATCCTTCCAGTAAAGTTCACTATACCAAATTAGCGGTTGGTGGTTGCTGGCAGGGTACGTTACTAGTTTTAGATAATAAGAAATATTTGAAGTTGTAGCATCACAGAACTGCTAATCTGATTTTGCAGGGTTTGATTTTGTTACAGGTTGAGATAGTGCTTGCAGTGCAGTTTGAAAAACTTCTATAAATTTGGACAATGGCATAGAGGCAACCAAGACTGCTGTCTTGGCTGGCAAAATTTCCATCATTGCACACTGAATGAATCCAATCAATATCAATCTGAACAATATTGACGTTAATGTTTTTATATTGTAGGAGGCAAATCTAAGTTTGGACATTTCTTCAAGGGATATTTAGCTGGATTATCTGTATTAAAAGATAAGAGAGAAGATGATAGAGTTATAAGATGTCTTAATAACTGTAAAGAAAGTCTGGATTTCCATGCTCTTGGTGAAATGAAGACTGGATCAGTAAGTCTCTTCATGCCATTTAATTTTGTGAGTGCCAGACTGCTTGGATTGACACTTGAAAGCATATTCGTTGAATGAGTCCTGTACATCTGTTAACTGCGTGGGGATGTGAACACTGGTGAATTTGGCGACTTGTGGTATCTCAATATTTTTATAGGATTATTTATATGAAAAGATTTTGCCATTTTTCTAAAAGTAAATGATACAGGGGATATAACTCTAAATACTTTCTGGATAAGAAATAAATGAAGTAAGGTGTAAAACTGTATTTCATTGCAATGTATTTCATTTCATCGTATTTCGTTTCATTGTATTTCATTCATTTCATTGTATTTCGTTTCATTGTATTTCATTCATTTCATTGTATTTCATTCATTTCATTGTATTTCATTTCATCGTATTTCATTGTATTTCATTTCATCGTATTTCATTGTATTTCATTTCATTGTATTTCATTTCATCGTATTTCATTTCATTGTATTTCATTTCATCGTATTTCGTTTCATTGTATTTCATTCATTTCATTGTATTTCATTGTATTTCATTTCATCGTATTTCATTTCATCGTATTTCATTTCATTGTATTTCATCGTATTTCATTTCATTGTATTTCATCGTATTTCATTTCATTGTATTTCATTTCATTTTAATGTATTTCACTTTATTTTATCTCATTGTGTATTACAGAGTGTAAGTTTTAACAATGAAATGACGGAGTTTAATATTTCTGGTAAAAAAGTTAGTGAGGTAGAGAAATTATTACATGAAGTAGGCTATGTTAATGTCCGATCCTACCCTACCCCTGGACGCAGAAAGTTAGAAATTGAAACTACTATCAGGTAAATGTCATTAATGTCATCTCAGGAGCTGCGGTCACTCAGTGAGTTAGATGCTTGCTCGCTAACCTTAAGGTCCAGGGTTCAATCACGGCATAGGTCGAGATGATACCTTTGGATTTTTCATACCAGTTTCCCCTTGTCAGTGATGCAGGTTAGAGGGCTGACATGGGAAAAGCGTCTAGTTGTTTGAATGGAACAATAAACCGAGGCCCTGTGTGCTACAGGCTGTGCACAAGGAAAGTTCAGAACAGTTTTTCATTGAATTATTGTGGTGGCTGCACAGGAAAAGAATCTTGATCAAATTTCCTTTTGTTACAGTTGTAATGATCAAAAAATCACACTCACTAAGATTAAGAGCAGTGTAGTGGTACAGGAACCTCCTAAACCAATCATTAAGATACTGGGTAATGATACCATCAGCAGTCCAGTATACGAGTTTGAAAGAGGTATTCAAGTCTTTGAGAAAGTGGACATCATGTATACCAAATCTAAGAACATCATTGAAGAAGTTGAAGAGGAAGATGATGATGATAAACAAGCTCAACTTAATCTGAAAGTCTCTCAAGCTAAATTAGAACGTAAGTTATTCTTGAATATGACTTCATAGAAAACCAGTATTTGCCTATATTACCCCTATCCTCATCACAATCAGCATTGGTTTGTAAAAGCTTTGAAATTTAACTGGTGTTATTTGTTGGCATCATCTAACAAATGATGGTCGTGGGTGGGTTCTAATCTTGGTCAGTGTGAAAGTTTGGTAGGATCGACCAAGTCTTTTCTCATTACTCCAGTAAATGAATACGATGGGAAAAATATATATCAAAGGGTTTGGCTAAGGAATAGCTGGTAAAAGGGATCCTTGTGAATCAAAGTTTTCATTGTAAATGATTTTAATGTCAGATTCACATTTTGAAAAGTGATACACTTATCTGAAGTTTATCAACTAAAGAGTTCAGAAATTCAATTTTTCCAATGCATGTGTAAAATAATAGGCAATTTGTATTTCAGAAGAGACCCAGTTAAAGAAACATTCCCAAGAAATTTTGATTGATTCATGTGAAATTAAGGCTGATCCACCATTAAATTTATTCTATGAACATCTATCTCTACCAACTCATATCATGGGGAACCTGGGATTAGAATGGAGCGAGACTAACGATGGTGTCGTCATTATGAGTAAGTAATTAAGGTGTTTGATTTCACATGGGGGAGCTGCTAGACCAATTTGGTAAGATGCTTGCTTTATAAGCTGAAGTTCCAGAGTTAAATCCTGCAATGGTTTCAGATACCTTTGGACTTTTCAACCCATTTCGCCATGTCAGTTATGAAGGTGGAGGGCCTGACATGGAAAAAGCATCTAGTCGTTTGGATGGGGCCATAAATCATGGGGCCCCCTTGGGTCACAGGCTGTGCACATTAAAATTCCTTGATAGATGGAAATTAGCAAATGTCTTGTTCAAATTTTCCTCATTACACACTGCATGGTGTGCCTTGGTCTCATTAGCACGCAGATGGATGCAGAAAATAAAGTATTGATGGTGAAATTTATCAGTTTTCTTACATGATTTTATTATTAATTCTATGATTTTATTATTAATTCTATGATTTTATTATTAATTCTATGATTTTATTATTAATTCTATGATTTTTCTATAGATGCTGATACTAAAGAAAGATATACCAGTGTATTGAGAAAGATTCATTATTATCACAACCAACCTAATATCTTAAAAACTAGATCCTTGTCACTGGAATGTTCTTCAGAAAATCATAGATTTATTAGCAACTTGTTCAAGACACAGGTAAGCTTAATGGGAGTTATGCCCCTTGCTTTTATCATGCGTTTTCTGAAACTGGTTTTCAGAAACATCGTAACTTGTAGAGAATTGTTTGATTCCCAGTATTATGAACACTGATTGGTTGATATTCTCACAGTGGTGATATTGACCAATCAGATATCTGGTTACGTGAACTAGATACAAGAAACTACAGTTACAAACTTTCTGACTTCTGATTTCGTCAATGACACCTTACTTTGACTAAAGATTTATAAATAGGATTTCGAATTTTTTTAAAAATATTAGAATGGACATTGTTTACAGTTAATGACTTTAGAAATAATCTTCAATATCAACTCTAGTAATCTAGAAGAAACCACAGTTTTTGTAATATAGCAACACGATAGCAAGTTACATAGTTTGAATTCTGAAATTTTCACTCACTGAACAGGATATTGTGTTGATAAAACATAGTAAAGCTTGTTAATGTATAATCCTCCACTTATAAAGTAAACAAGTAAACATTAAGTAAACAAGTAAACATTATCTAGACGGGCTATCAGTGCTTAGTTTAGTTTATCTATTTTATCAGTCTAATATGTAATGAGCAAGGCATGTCAGCTTGTAAGGGTCCAGTGCACTGGTTAATCTTGGTCTAAACTTGACCTTTGTCCATTTAAACTAATAAAAGATAGCTTACCTTTAGCTGAAATCCATTTCATTGACAGTGGCTTGTACAGTTACTTTGGATCCTTAGCATTTCAGATTTAAGCTTTTTTGGATATGCGTACAACTTTATAAAAATTGGTTATATTTTTTGGAGAAACTTTTGGATAGTCGTACAACTTTTGAAATTTCTAGACATTAGAAGTGAAATCTACGATAAACTAGCCAAGTTCTAGAAAAAAATGTGCAAACTTTTGATATTGGAAAGATTGGTTCAAATTGTATCAGTTTTCTACCTAAAGTGGTTCAGCAGTTGATTAGTTACGGTTCATATTGTACAATGGGTTTCTTTCAGCTGTTTGCTATCCCGGTTCACAAACAACATGACTATCAAGTAGCTGCTAATATTATGAGAGATAGCAATGAAGCTGTACATCAAGACGTAAAACAGTTAACGTCTAAAATTACTCCTGATGTGGTAGCCTCAACTTCCAGTAAGTTTCTTTATAAATATTAATTATTTTAAAGGTACTCTATCTCTTATAATTAACATGTAATTTGGATTCTCAAAAGGGGACCTGTTTTCTCTAATGCATAGGTTATATAACACAGTTTTAAAATCAAAAAAATTTCCTTTAGTCTTGTGAGGCCTGCATTTCTTCATACTATTGTCAGTTCCTAATTAAGTTTTAAGTTCTTTGGGGACAATTTGGAATAGAATTATCGCTAACAAAAGAATATGCTTTGGGGCCATTTTTGGTGACTTCTGCACGTTAGGGATATATGGAATTAATATACATTCAATAAAACAAGTTTGAACATAGTTCCACCTGTGCCGAAAAAAGTTAAAGTGAAGACATAATTCAAAATGACGGAAATAGGAAATAGGTGGGAGAATTTTGAATGTGACATATTTCCTTTCAAACTCTTCGATTCAGGGCAAAAAATAAAAGACGAAACCTTCCAGAACTCTTCAATCAAGCACCGACCATGGCTCTTGCTCTTTATATGAGCAGGTTACATGCTAAATTGTTAAAAATATGTCATAGTAAAGTCATTTTGATTTTTTTACAGATTTTGGAATGGCTGCTATTATTGTGGTGTGTATAGGATTCTTATTATTTATGATAATATTGGGAGTCATCAGAATTCGAGCTGTACATCGTAGAACACAGGTTGTCCAAGTTGAAGAGAAACAAGAGATGGAATGGGATAACTCAGCTCTTAATATCACTGTTAATCCCATGGAACAAGAGGTTAGTTTAGATTTACTGAAGAGAAAATAAATTTTTGAAAAGGGATGAGGGAATATTTAAAAAAAATGTTCGGAAATTGTTGTTACTTTTGCCATGAAATCCGACGTTTGTCTGATTTAGAGGACCGGCTGTAACTCAGTTGGTTAGAGCGTTGGAATCCTACATGACATCATTTTCTTGGTTACTTCGAACAAATGGTGATTGTTGGTTCTAATCTGGGACAGTATGTGAAAGTTTGGTGATCGTAGATAAGTCACTTTTCCTCATTATTCTAATCAACCCAGCTGTAAATGGGTATGGTTAATTCAGGAAAGGTCAATGTAAAGAGGTTTTGCTTAAAACAAGCTGGTAGAAAGGATCTTTAATATTCCAGTCGACCCAGCTGTAAATGGGTTCAGATAATCTAAGAAAGATCAATGTCAAGAAATTTTGCCCAAGACCTGTGAACCTTGTGTTGACCATCATCTTTCTTGAGCACCAAAGTGCATACCTATCGAAACCCGGTCTTAATATAGTTTTAATTCTATTTTTAGCAAGTATTTGAATATGAAGAGAATGTACAACAAGCATTAAGAGATGAGACAGATAGCGAAGATGATGGTAGTGATTTCCACGATGAATTAGACAGCTCGGACGAAGAGCCTCGTGCTCCTGGTAAAGATCAGCTGGAATGGGATGACTCTACGCTCAGTTTCTGAAATTAATTCTTCGTTATTTTGTTTGGTGTTTCAATGGCTTTAAAAAAATTTTTAAAAGACACAAACTCTTCAAATTATTCCATCATTCAGGATGAGTTATTCCCCTTGTTATTAAATTTGTACCATTACGATTTAAGTAATTGTATCATATAGCTCAATTTGAGTTGTGTTTTTGCTGGTGAAATGAATATTGATTCTGGATTCTATCATCTATTTCATTAGCTACTCTAAAAAAAATATCATCAATTTATAATTTTGATATTTGAAAGATTTCCAAAATCTGAAAATTTATTCTTTACCAAAACTGACTGTTTTTCCAACATCTGTGGTGCACAAATAGTTGATCGTTTCAGTCTATGTACTGAAATTGACACTTTTCAAGCAGATGCACAAAAACTGGTTCTGAACATAGTTTTAACATTTTCTTGAAAATTCTGAGATTATTTCGTTCCATAATTCCATTAATTACTTGATTATCTAATTTCGAATAATAAGCTTTAAGTCTCATTAATATGCATAATAAAATTAAAAATTCATCATATTCAGTCAAATTAAATACTTTTAATTACAAATTTTTTACAACATATTTAGGAAATTGTATTGAAACATTAAAAAAAAAATTATCCAATTTTCTTCATTTGGTCTCAAACACTGGTTGATGTTTAAAAGGTGTTAGAGCCTCTTCAATAATAAACCAGTGATCCACAAGGCCAATATTGGTTGGTAAGCTCTCATCTAGTAGTATCATTAAGTAGTAATTTCAACGAAACGACAGAAATTCAATATTATTCATTTTTCACCTTAAATTATGTAGATATCAAAATATATTCTTGCACTCTTTGTAATTGTGATTTATCTAGTAAGGTATATCGTATTTCTTGAGCTTTTTTCAGATATTGCAGTAATCGTGTATATTTTTTGCTCTTAATGTATCTTATATATATATATTGTCAGCTTTAACTAATTTAACACTTACTTAAACTGAATTGTGGCAGGAAGATTTTAAATCACTTGCAAATCTGTGCAGTTTATATTTAGATTTGGCAAAATTTTCACGACATTGAAATTTTTTTTCATCCACCATGGTAGCTTTAAGAAATTCATTTTTAAACCTGCCACAAAAATCAAAAGTTTGATCACTCACTGTTGCAGTTCAGTTTAAAATATTAATTTTAATCACTTTTTATTCTAGTTATATTATTATTGTTTTCTTTTATTGTTGTTATTACATATTTCAAAAATGCTGATGTGAGAAGCGTTTTTTAACAAAATGTGATTATAAGTTTGGTTTGGCAAAGATATGCATTCGTTCCTACTTTTACTGCTTTGAGATTCTTTTTATATGACATTTTTTCAATTTTTGGAAATTCACTACATTTTTTAATTCAGGCTTTAATGGGATGCAGTTGATTCAAGCCAATTTTTCTGATTTTTTAAGAAATTTTAAAATCTAACCAGTGCAATAAATGTAGGAATGAATACACTGCATGATTTGATGGACATCTGTCAATCATGCAAGCACCTGTTAAGTTTTTAACATTCCATCCTATTATGGAAGGGGAGGAGATATTAAAATCACTCAAATCAGATCACACCCATTTTCTGAAGAGCCACGCCCCTTATGGATTCTCAATGACTGATTTGTTTGAATTTAAATATGGGTGTCAGTTATCTGATTCTGAATTTGAAAATGGTATGGGAAAATCCTGATATCAGTGGGATCATTATACAACGCAAGAAAATGGGAATCTAAGCATTAAGTGGGAGGAGCCTGTCTTTTTGACAGAAATGACCAAAGTGATAATTGACCAATCCCTGTGTAAGATGTCCCCTCCCTCTAGAATTTGACCAACCAGAAAAGTGCTGCTTGATAGTTGTGTATATTTGTTTGTGATAGTGACCCTTAGTTCTGGTTGTAATTAATTTATGTGACCCCGCCCCCGAATATTGTAGTGATCATCCCTCCACAATGTATCTCTTGTATTTAATATTGATAAGAATTGAGGCAGTCATCTACCTTGAATTACACCACAATCTGAAAATTGGCACAGGCTGGGTAAGACATGTAATGAAAGAAATTTTAAGAATAAAGATGAACTTCTGTGAACACAAGTTCTTTAATTTTATTTAACACCTTATGGATTAACTGTTTTAAAAAAGGACTTATACTCAAATAAGATCCTTGAAAAATCTTAAAATGGAATTAGACTGAAAAGGTTTCCCAAAGTCAAAAAATGGTTTTGAAAAATTTTGAGAGTTACCCCAAGGTAGATAACTCACAATTCTTTTTAATTATTTGTGGTCTGTCAACATAATTCCCCCCTATCAATGTATAATATTTTGAATATGTAAATTAGGTGAAAAGATGTAAATCTGCATATTTTAATGTATAGTTTAATCAATGTATGTATTTAAATTCCCATTCACTGACAAAAAACAAAATTTGGCTTCATTAAATTTCACGACAAATATTTTCTGTAAGTTAAATTTTAAAGGAATATAGTGGTGTAAAAATTTACTGTACCTGCTAGTAGAGCTTAATTTAAGCCCCCTTAAAGTTTCTGATTGATTATATGGAAACCCAATGTCAGATTTTGATTCTGAAAAGTGTAATGTGTTGCTTAAATTGAGCTCTACCAGTAGGTAAAGTAGCTGTTTAATTGCTTAATTTGAAATTTGATTAAATTATAAACTCAAAATGTTTTAAAATAATTATTTTTTAGTCAGTTCAGTTTAATTATTTGAAATGAAAGTCATGAAGCATTGAGCAGAGCAGAATATTTTCATTTCTTTTGTAATATTTCTTTTCAATTCTTCAATATATCCTATGTTAGTCAAAAAATGTATATTTTTTTTTTTGAAGAATTTATGGAGTGATATTGTCAGTAATATCAAAGTCCAGGTTGAATTGATAATATCAAAATTCAGGTTGAATTCATGGAGTGATAATATCAAAGTTCAGGTTGAATTGATAATATCAAAGTTCAGGTTGAATTGATGGAGTGATAATATCAAAGTTCAGGTTGAAGTGATAATATCAAAGTTCAGGATGAATTCATGAAGTGATAATATCAAAGTTCAGGTTGAATTGATGGAGTGATAATATCAAAGTTCAGGTTGAATTCATGGAGTGATAATATCAAAGTTCAGGTTGAAGTGATAATATCAAAGTTCAGGTTGAATTCATGAAGTGATAATATCAAAGTTCAGGTTGAATTGATAATATCAAAGTTCAGGTTGAATTCATGGAGTGATAATATCAAAGTTCAGGTTGAATTGATAATATCAAAGTTCAGGTTGAATTGATGGAGTGATAATATCAAAGTTCAGGTTGAATTGATAATATCAAAGTTCAGGTTGAATTCATGAAGTGATAATATCAAAGTTCAGGTTGAATTGATAATATCAAAGTTCAGGTTGAATTGATAATATCAAAGTTCAGGTTGAATTCATGAAGTGATAATATCAAAGTTCAGGTTGAATTCGTGGAGTGATAATATCAAAGTTCAGATTGAATTCATGGAGTGATAATATCAAAGTTCAGGTTGAATTCATGGAGTGATAATATTAAAGTTTAGGTTGAATTCATGGAGTGATAATATCAAAGTTCAGGTTGAATTCATGGAGTGATAATATCAAAGTTTAGGTTGAATTCATGGAGTGATAATATCAAAGTTCAGGTTGAATTCATGGAGTGATAATATCAAAGTTTAGGTTGAATTTATGGAGTGATATCTAAGTTGAAATCAGGATCCCCCAAAATATCAAGAAAAGCATGCTGTACTAGGTATATATTCAAAATTACTTGCCGCTTGATTTCAGGTGAAAGGATTTTAATTTATTTATAATCAAAATATTTGTATTTTTTATAAGTTTCTAGCAGATGGTGCTCATGTTTATTTATTTATTGTCCTTCTATTAGCCAACCTTTCACATTTTCCATGTATGGTACAGATCATAACACAATTGGCCAGAAAAACTGAATCAATGACCAGTGGCTCAACTAGATCAGTGGGGATCGTGCACTTAAACAAGTTGTTGCCCTTCCCTTGGGAATTTATTAACATATACTCTCCTTGCATTCTGAAAACCCCTCTGGAAGCCAATTTAATGACTGTATTGATCCCTGGAGGCTGGGGACCTGTAAGGGTCGGGCGTTCATGGACTTGGTTCACCCCATCCCTATGGTAGTTGAGTCATTGTCAAGGGCTGAAAGTAAAAAGTGAAGTTATGGCTAATAAAGGACTGCTGCTAAGTTCAGTGCTTCATGCTACATTATTATCATTCATTATTAAAATTATGTGGTTGGTTGTCATTATTATTATTATTATTATTATTATTATTTGGAAGATACAATAATGTTCCCCCGTCGTTCACTGTTCAAATCTGTGTTTGTGCGTTTTGTATATATATTGTCTTCCTTAAATAAAAAATAATCCGACCACAAAACCATTTGTTCAGTGTCTTTAATATGCTTGGGTTTACATTTTGACGGTATTAACAGTGGCATCACAATAACATTACAGTAGCATCATAATGACATCACAACCTCGGATTTCTTATATTTGAGGAATATTTTACGTGCAGAGGCTTTGGTGCTTGCTGTGTTGGTGGGGACTAGACGCTACTTCCTTTGGTGCTTGCTGTGTTGGTTGGGACTAGACGCTACGCTTGGGTAAGTGTGCGAATCTTGTGTGGGTAAGTGGGCGAATCTTGCGTGGGTACGTTGGCGCATCATGCTTGGGTAAGTGGGCGCATTATGCGTGGGTAAGTTGGCGCATCATGCTTGGGTAAGTGGGCGAATCTTGTGTGAGTAAGTGGGCGAATCTTGCGTAGGTAAGTGGACTAATCTTGTGTGGGTAAGTGATGCGAATCTTGCTTGGGTAAGTGGATGCATTTTTGCTTGGGTAAGTGGGCGAATCTTGTGTAGGTAAGTGGGCGAATCTTGTGTGGGTAAGTGGGCGAATCTTGTGTAGGTAAGTGGGCGAATCTTGTGTAGG